TATCTGGTATAATATTATTATTATCTACTAGTAAAGCACTCATAATGGCTTTAGTAGATTGCTTCTTTTTAAATATAACTTTAGGCTTCTTGAGCCCTTTTTTATATTTATTACTCTTATTCCCTTTAGAACTAGAGTAATTATTCCTTAATTCAGGATATTTAATAAAGCATTTATCCTCTATATGTCCCTTTTTATTGCAATGTTTGCAATAGGACTGATTATTACTAAAGGAGGCTTTATTAGCTTCTAAATTAGAAGTAAGCCTCCCTTCTTCCGATATTAAATCGGTAATCAGTTTGCCAATATTAATAGCTTTAAGGCTATCCGTCAATTCCTCATATTTACGAGAAGCGTAATTATTGTAGGAACCAGGAAGACCCTTTAATACTAGCCAAACGATAATAGGGTCGGGTATAATTTGCCCTAATTCCCTAAGATATATAATAGATGACTGAATATTACTAGTATATTCATCCATACTATTAAAGGAATTATAATTATTGTCCACTATTTTATTAAAATAGCGACCAATTAATTCCAAGCTAGATTGGCCGAATGTCGTAATAATAGCTTTATATAGGTCTTCGGCATCAGCCTTATCTTTAAATCGATCATTATTATTAATTGATATAATCGATTTTAAGGCTCCTAAAGCTCTTTTATTATTACGATTAAATTCGGAAACTCGATCGGCATATCTAGCCGCTAATTCAGCCGATAAAGGGGTCCAAGTTCTAGACTCTTTTCCTTCTTTATCAGACTTAGTCTCTATTTTATAATATAAAGACCTATTAGGTATAGCTTCGGTACCGTCGATATATGACATATAGCCATTTATTTCTAGGAATAAATCGGCATTAGTCTTCCACTCTATAAAATTAGAGCTACCAACTAGCTTATCGCCCTTAAAAGATGAAATACTAGTATTAGACATCTTTAAAGTTCCCTTTTAGAGTTTCTTGCTCTTAAGTTTTAAAGGGGACTAATTAGCGATTTTGAACTTTACTTATATATTTAAGACTTATAATATAGTCTAAAAATCCTAAATTTGACAATTTAGGTATAAGTAATAGTTATAAGGCTATAATAAATATTATAGCCTATTTGGGATTATATTTTCCCTTTTTTCTTTAATAAATCTTTAAAGATTTCTTAGACGTAATTTATCTTTTAAAAGTTTTAATTAATTAAAACTAAGATAATATACCGAAAATTCTGATTTATTGAATTTATATTCGGTAAACGGTAATAAAGCTATATTGTAAATTATAGCTATTATCTATTAATAGATAATTTTGGTTTAGTTAAAGAATTTAAATTCTTTAATTAATTTAACCGTTCTTTTTACGAATTAAGGAGCTTAGTTTAAGGGCTCTAAAAGTACTATAGATTATAGTACTAATATAATGATTTGAGCCGTAGATAATGGTTTATTAATTCGTAAATTAAATAAACTTATAATCTTTATAACTAAGACTTTAAATCTTAAGATTTAAATTCCCTTTAACTTAAAGAATTGAATTCTACTTACTACTATTATAAGGGACTCTTACCTTCTGATTTTAAGCTAGTAATAAGACCCTTTTTATCTCTATAAGAGTAAAAGGGCCGTAGCTAAAATAGGTAGATATATGTAAAGTGATATTAATTATTTATATAATATAAAAAATTATAAAATAATTTTTAGAGTCTTAATAGTAGTAATTTTATAGGTAGTTCTTAATCTTTTAAGGGTTATTCTCGTAATTATTATAATAATAATAATTAACTTTTAAAAGTATTATATACTTTAAAAGCTTATATTTGAAAAAATCGTATATATAGCACAAATATAATATATTATATGACTAGACTATGTCCACTCATATAGTATATTATACCTATATATAGCCAAATATATTGAGAATCGCACTAGAGGTGTGTTTGGAACGTATGTCCGTATAGTATTGTCAAATATAAGTATAAGAGCTAAGACCAATTATATTGCCCAAAGCTAATTATAGTTATACTGATATATAGCCAAACACGACCTAATATAGGTAATTACAGAGAGACACAACTTATTCTTCGAAATAATAAGCTGGAATCCTTTGTATGAGAACTGAATCTTTAATTACTAGTAGGTAATTAAAAATCAGGAATTTATATATTACCCGCTATGGGTAGCGCAATCGCTTGTTCTCACAGATATATAGTCAAGAGGTTATAGTTTATACGCTCACTATAACTTTGTCTCAGGGACTTAGGCAAGCCTGCAATTACCTATATTTGTAATAATTAGCTTTAATCAAAGGGATGATTCTCTTACTTTTAAGTAAAAGTAGAGGAAGCGTCGATTTGCGATCACAAATACTCTTAGTTTAGAAAACCAAGTGCATTGCTACCATGTCGTAATAGTCGGAATCGATAGGGAGGTAAAGTCTTAAAGGCTAAAGTCTTAAAGGCTAAAGTCTTAAAGAGTAAAGTAAAGTAATGGTTTAAGATCGTAAAGCAAAGAGTAAAGTGATTCTGAAGTGCTGTTCGAGTGCTTGATTTTCTGGTTCTAAGGGGGGAAATCTAGCTACTTAAATAATAAAATCTAGCTACACCAAACCACAAGAATGACTCACAACTCCATTAATTATAATAAGCACGGCCTATAAATCCACCGATTATTAGAAATCAAATTATAAGACGGCTAAATAAATGTCCCATTAAATCGTAATTATGGCTTAATAGATGCCCCGATCTTATGAACCGAATCCTTAGTTCCAAATCCAAGTCACGTTCTTAATTAGCTAAGAGCTTACTAAAAAATCGTGTTCTTAATTAGCTAAGAGCTTACTAAGAAATCACGTTCTCAATTAGCTAAGAACTTACTAAGAGATTTTAGCCATTCATAAGAGGGCTCTCTTAGATAAGAGATAAAATAGCCTAATAAGGCTAATTTAATTTTTATAATTTATAGTTACTAGTTAACTATTTAATATAAAAATTTAAGTCTTTATAGAATAATAATTCTTAAGTTAAAGACTTTTTTAAATCTCTTAATTACTACTTTAATTTTGAAAATTAATAATTAAAGTAATTATTAATTAAAGTAGATTTTGTTTTAAATATAAAATACTATATATAGTAATATACTATATAAAAAAGTTCTAGTATTTTTTATTTAATATATAATAACTTATATTATTAAAGAAGGTAATATATAAATAATCTTTAATTATTTAAATACGACAATAAGTTTAAAATATTTGAAATATATTAGTTAAGTAGGCCTTAAATTACTTCTAATAGACCTTATATAATAGTGGGCTTTACTTTATTATAGCCTCTCAAATATTATAAGATTTGTTCCTAAAAGTACTTATAGTAGAGTTAATTCTAGAAAAGTATTTATTATAAGTTCAAGGTTAGGTCCTAAAGACTACCTTCTAGGAAAATATAAATATTCTCTATTTCTTAAGGAACTTTCTATAATATAAGTTAGGTATCCGGATCTTAAGAAGCTTCTCTCGATCCAAATATATCTTTAGGATATTATATAATGGCTCCTAATAAATAGTATTAAGATTACTTTCAAAGCTTATTATATTAGGAAAGGAAGTGGGTTCTAACTTTATTTTAGGAAGTTCCCTGGTAGGAATTACCGAGGAAAATGGGATAGACTTATAAATAGAGTTTCTATGAGATATAGTAAACCATAAGGTATTCCTAAGAATACTCTTATATTACTCTAACTATAGGATATATTAGTTAATTATATTGTAAGGCACGTAATAGCAGGGTGATGTACAAGTAGTCAAGGTAAGTAAGCTGCGGAGTGACGCTTGCAAGTGTAACTGATTCCAAGAATTGATTCCAACAAGAGACTAATCGATGCCCCTTCCAAAGCTAGGAGCGTCTCCCTATATATTCCCTAGTGCTTAGCCAGGCATGCGAAGCCCTTTACTTAATTAGGAAATCCCATGCGATCCATACGATTCCGATCGCAAGCTGTACCCAAAATAGGAAACTAGATCCACGACATCTGACACCTGTCCATGCGCCATCACGTGTGCCCATCACATATATTTACTAATTCTTGCTTTTATTAGAGCGCTTTAACTTTAGTATACAAGCCCTATTTCATAGCTTGGATAGTAGTAACTCGGGTATTAATCTCGGTATCTTAATTATTACCGGGATTATTTCCATTATTATTACTGGCTCTCGGAGATTCCTGAGAGGCCCTATTAAAAGTATTAGACGAGCCTTTGCTATTACCTATATTGGGGTTAATCTGGTCGACTTTCTCTATAGGAATAGCTTTAGTAAGAAGTTATATATTTTGCAGATTTCGAGATATAATTACTTATTAAACTACTTTCTTTAAGGGTAAAAAGATTAGCTTATAAGATATTTATTAATAAGTAATAAGATAATAGAATAAATTAGTATATTATAAAACCATAGTATTAAATTTAGTATAGAACTAATCTCTGTTTCTCCTATAAGGTTCAGGGAAGCCTTCTCTAAATAGGAGTATAATGGTTTCACGTGGTAGACTAGGGAATTAGGCTCGTGAATTAGTAGGTCTAAAGCAATAAGTATATATATAAGTAAAGACTTAATTTCGAACTTAAAGAAAGTTCTATCTATAAGATAAAGCGTTCTTATATAGCCTTAGGGCTTAGTTCTAGAATATTCTAGTAGTGAGTCATATGCTTACTAATTAGAATCTTCTAGATACTTAGCTTACAAATCAGAGCTATATGGAATATTCTAGAACTAATAATTACTAATGCTTACTAATGCTTACTAATGCTTATATAAGCTTATAGTAAGTTCTAGAATATACTAGAAAGTACTTATTACTAATATCTTAATAAGGAGGCCCTAATAACATATATATAATTAGTAATTTATAAGCCTAATACTTATAATATAAATAGTAGTTAGTTATAAAGTCGGAGGGCCTCTAATCTCCCTAATTAATACCCGTAATATCCGAGGTTTATTATATGCCCTTAAGTTATATATGACCCTATATATATTATATTTATATCTATAGTATTAGTACTAATATTATTTATTTCTTAAGCTAGAATTACTAGTTTAAGCTTACTTGGCTTTCGGATTAGTACTTTATTTAATAAATCAAGTTTTTATTAAGGTAAAGCTAATTAAAAATACTAAAAATATATATAAAAGAAATATTTAAAGAAAGCCCAGAAAGTTAATTTAAATTATATATTTAGAGGCTTAAAAATAGGGCTATTTTAGTATTTAGAATAGAAGAATTTTATACTAATATTTAAAAAATTTATATAAGAGTTTATTAGATCTAGTTCCTCTATTTAAAGAAGCTAATTTATAGCCTAAGTATTATTTAATAATATATATTAGAGCTAATTAAAATAAAAAGTTATATATTTTCTATTTAAATTTCCTATTTTATTAGAATTTCGAATAAGCTATATATTATTATTTAGTTCTAGTAACTTTTATTTAGCTTTTATAATATAAATAAAGTCTTATTAAGCTAGCTAGAATTTATTATAATAGATTCTTTTTTTTATTCTGAAATAATTAATTAGGGTTATAGATTATTAACTAGAAGTATTATAAAATAATAAATATTAGCTAGTTTATCTAATAATATTAGAAAAGCTATTTTTTATTTAGCTTAAGTTTTTTTTATCTAATTTAGTTTATGGTTTTTATATAAAATAAAGTAATCTAGTAATAAGTAATAATTATTTTATTATATAGGCTATTTTTAATTCTTTAATATTTAGAATAAAAAATACTTATAATTCTAAAATAATATAAATTAGATTTAATTTCCTAGTTAATTTATTTGGCTTTTATTTAATAAATAAAAGAAATAATAAATAAAAGAAAATTAGAAATATTTTAACCAAATTTCGAAAATAAGAAAATATAGTATTTAAATTTTACTTTAATAAA